TGGCGGTTCAAACCCACCAGCCACTCCTCAGAAGGAAGGTTGGGCAATCCTACTTCCGTAGTGATACTGCCTCAGAAACCCAAGGAGGGGTCGCTATGTGTCGGGGTCGACTGGACGGCAAATAATAACAACAACAACAATTAGGAGAATACGCTGCAGCACACAATTCACACAAATAGGCTATCGGTTCTGATTCAACTATTGCTATTAAAAACAGAAAATGGGGTCCATGAGATCAGGAGTCTGTATCTGGTTTGTTCACTCCTGCACCCTTAGTGCCTAAAGCCAGCTCCTCCGGGTGCTGCTGCCTGGTGTTCAGCCAGAGGAGAAATCAAAACCTCTGACAAGATGGAACAATAGGTCTTTCCTCATCCAGAGCAAAGGAGAATGAAGAAAATCCAGATGCATGGAAACAATTAGTGCCCAGGGACATAGGAACCTCAGTCTACACGACTCTGAGACCAGAACAATGAGGTGGTGCCTGGCTACCACTGTCAATCACCCAAAAAGGGATCAGAACAGGAGATCCTATATAGAGTGAGAGAAAAATGTGGAACAAAACTCAGAATTGTACAAAAGTCCAGGCTCACTGATCTGATGGAGACTGGTAAAACCTCCGAGTCCATGGCCCCTAGTCTTCCTTCAGGCCTGGAACTGAACTTATTCCCCAGGCTTAACTTCCATTCAAACAACAGACAGGCCTACAAGGTGAACATTTACACCAGGTAGGTACACTCCTTAGAACAATCCACCCAGAAGGGCAGTATTTGCACAGGGAGATAGCTCAGAGGATAGGAATGCATAGGAAAGAAGGACACAAGGAAAGGTAAACATAGGGAAAAAGTGGGAAGAGAGCTGTTACATCATGGGGATTGCAATCAATGTCATGAAACAAAACATGTATGAACTGTTGAATGGAAAATTTGCTCTGTAAACTTTTCACTGAAATCACAATTTAAAAAAAAACAATCTCTACTAAGACCCTAACCCCTCAGGGGCCTCACCTCAGGGAACACCAGTGACTCTACTCAGAGTATTTATTTCTGTCTCTGTCTCAGGGAGCTCTGGTAGTGTAGTGCCTAAGACATTTGACTGCTAACCAGAAGGCTGGAGGAAGGCTGGAGGTTCAAACCCACCAGCCACTCCTCAGAAGGAAGATTGGGCAATCTACTTCCGTAGT